TGTTTGTAATTTGGTCCTTCTTTCACGTTTAAATGCAAATGAGATGTTAATTTTTCTTAATGATTTGTTGTACCTGAGGCATGGAAAAGCTCTGAAACTCAACTGTCTGACTGCTTTTGTGCTCAGGGTATGAAAAGTAATTTAACAAAGTGTTTTCTAATCAAAGTAATGTAACCTGATCTCACTTGCATTTGGATCTTTAATACAATACAAAATCACTGGAACCACACAGTATGTGTGTGTGTGTGCGTGTGTGTCTGTGTGTGTGTGTGTGTTGGTGGGGAGTGGTGTTGTGGACTAATGAAGGGACAGATCATCAGCTGAACAGCCAACCTGAAAAACATTGCACACAGAAGAAGAATTGAATTGGAGTTAGCACCAGGTAACTGCATTTTTACAGTTACAGTACAGAGAGTCAGAGCAGCTCAAAGTCCTTCCTGTGTGGGTTTTATTATCTGAAAAACGACCCTGACAGCTGTAAACTTTTGCATTGACTTTTACACCTATTCTTAATTTTGATGATTTCCCATCCAACGGTTAAATTGGCTGCATTAAACTGACATATTTGGCTTTTAAGCACACTTCCAAAATGGTTTGAAATATAGAGTGGCATCAAAGTGGCAATCGAACCACCAATAAAAACAAATAATGCGACTTTGATTTATTTGTTTTATCCTGTGGTGTTTGAATTCGCCATTTTTTTTTAAAGTAAAGCATAGTTCATAGCTGCAGTGGTCGATCATCTCAGACTGTCACAATCTATCACGTGAAGTATTAGAAAGTTGCAAACAGATGTATGGACGATATTCGAGGAGTTATCTCTAAACGCACAGATAGGCATGTTATTCTATTTATTTAGCTACTAAATATAAGATGTTCAGGTGCATAACGACTGATCACATCAATGCCCAAAATAGTCCTATAATATAATCTGAAATACAATGTGCATATTACTGGAAACGTTTGGAGATTTTATAGGAATCTAAAAATACAGGAAACTATACGAATATTATGGCGATGTTTCGTTAAGAGATACTTTAGGGGACCGGTGTGTGTGTGTGTGTGTGTGTGTGTGTGTGTGTGTGTTTAAATCAATAGAGCACATTCTGACGTTACAATGAGTTTATAACTATAATATATTAATATACAGTTGGGTTTTACTGCAATGTACAGGACGCAGACTCTCAAATAACCGGCGACAAACGAGGGTGTTCTTCCACAGACCAAACAGAAAAATAGAGAAAGAAAGAAAAGAAAACTAATGATAAGAAACAGATCATATTCTAATTTTAGATTTAAACGAGGGGATCGATGGAAAACAGTTGTAATGATCCAATTAATTATGGGCAAAATTAAAAGCAAGTGCAAAATCAATCTTTCACGGTGTCGAGGATGGAATCAAATTGATGCTCCATCTGTTCACGCCAGCAAGATTTGTAGCCCGGAGTATAGTAGCCTCGCTGCTGGAGCACAGGACACAGTGAGGAAATTCAATATACAGTACAGTGTCAAGAGATATTGTTGTTGTTAGTGTTACAGGATTATTTGCAAGGTGGCTGCAGCTGAACTTCTGAAATCTCCTCCTGTTTCCTTCAAATATAATATAATTATTAATTGGTAGGCTATTTTAGGAGCAAGCAGCTGACGTTGGATTTATATTTATTTGACAGATTTAGTCAAAGAAAGTACCTGAAAAGACTTATTTATTCAAGCATGCAGACAGTCTAAAACTCTACATGTGTCTCTTATATTTACAGGATGCAAATAGTCAAAAATCAGCCTCTATTTCGCCAGAAACCCATCTAAATCACCACCAAATTCCTGACAAACCTGTCCCTTAAATCCAAACGGATTAATATTCAACTTACAACGAATGGTGTCAGCCCCCTCTGCAAGGAAACTCAGATCGATTGGTGACGTTGGAATTACAACCAGCAGAGTCTGCACGGGAGGAGGAAAAAAAGAAAACATGAATGACACTTCTAGAAACAAAAGTTCTTTACTACCACCATCCAGACGCCTCGATCATCTTCCCCACAGTCTGGAAGTGTGAGCTGATGTTCGGCGGGTGGAGCTGCTGGACCCTCGGTGCTGCTTCTTCCCTCTCCTCCTCCTCCTCCTTCTCCCCCTCCTCCACGCCACCTCTCCTCTCTCCTCTGCACAGGCCATTAGGAAGCGGGGCAAAAGATAAATTGCTCTCTGTCAATACATTACACCTCTCCTAATGGGTGCACCCGGGCTCCAAAAACATTTTCCAAACTCTTGACATGGAGTGGCATCGTCTTAAACACCGTTGTTGTGTGTAAGAGTGAGTCAGTAATTGTGGGAACACTGATGCAAATTCTTTCAATTTAAATTTTCTGAAATTGAAAATTAGAGGCATCAAGGTTTAATTATTAAAGGTAAAACTGCAAAAATAAACAGAAAAAGAAGAGGCGATAATTGATCCAGTCTTTGTGTTGTTTAAATGGCTTTTTAGGAGCCCTCTAACCCCGTGTTGTCGCAGCTGAATAGAGCGGCCCCCTTCCTAAAAAGAGAGGGGTCGTAAGGCCAATCTGACCACAGTCAAACATGCCACACCACAGGTGCTGTTCAAACACAAACCAAACAAAGTAAACACGTGAAAACAGTGTATTCATTGGCATATGTGTTCAAAACAACAAATTCAGCATTTTGTCCCCCCGTCTTCCCTCCCTCCCTCCCCCTTGCTTAATATTTGCAGGGGGAGATCAAATTGTGTGGAGCAGGAGGGCATGAGAGAGAGAGAAGGGGGAGAAAACAGAGGGAGGGGGCGACGATGGTGGTGGTGGGGGTCTTATAGGGGGGAGTAGGTGGAAAAAGAATGTAGCTTTAAGGGAAATGTGCAGCCGGGTGTGAAATTACAGCCTATAGTGCTACATATTGTACCAGAAGCTCACTCCAAAAACAGTAACAAAAAGAGAAATCATCCCCTAACCTGACCAGGAGGCAGAGCGCGAGATGTGGCCGTCTGCCCCAAAGAGGTGCCCCCCAACCCCACCTACCCCCCGCAAAAAATGACCAAATATGTGGCGAAAGTGCCTTCTTAAAAACATAACCAGGAAAATTAGCAAATCACCTCAAATTATTATTTATATATTTGAAAAGGCATTATTATTATTATTATTATTATTATTATTACCTCTTTAGGAATTCAAACATTTTAAATCAGTAATTGATTGCAATTTTGATTATTTTCAGACTTTTATTTATTTATTTTAACGGTTATAAAAATGTATTTATGTGCTATTTTGTTTTTGTTTTATGCCTCACCTTTTATTACTTGCGTTTTTTGTTTTACACTTTAAAATACTTTGTTACTTTGTTTAAAAAAAGTACTTCAGAAATTAACTTTATTATTGCTGCATATGCCTATATTTATTCTATTATCTAACCTATATATTTTAATTTTAAAAAATCACGTTCTTTTGTGAAATAAACATTTTTTATGTTATTTAAAACCTTACAAATTTCTATAGACACAGGTTTTTTTTTAAATAGGGTATTTATAGGATCCAAAATAATGCTCCTTCACTATGCCTCCTTAAGTTTAGTTTCCCTTTCAGATGACTTTATAGTGCAGGTTTTTTTAGGGAAAGTCTTATCTGCTGTTTCTTTGCAACACCATATATGGATCTATGCTTATCGATAATTGTTCCAATTGTTCATCAGTTTGACCACAGACACTCAAGTGCACCCCAAGTTTTACTTTTTTGGACCACTTCGACAGCGCCTTTGAATTTGAGAAACTATACAGCGCCATCTACAGAAGCCAAGCGGCACTGCTGCGTACAGATCAATTTTACTTCCAACCATCACCACTGCTCCCACTTTGGACCAGTGCGATCATCACACCATCAGTATGTAGTACGTAAAAAGGTCAATACATATGCATTTATACATATTAGCCACCAGTTTTAACATTTTGTACATCAAATTAAAGTAAGAAATAAAGCTGAAAGCAAATTATTTTAGGCCTACTTGGGTTCCAGAGCGGACATTTGGACAGATGAGCAAGAAAATAAAATTCAAAGATAAAATTCAAAGAAGGATGGTGCAAAATCCGGGTTTTCAGGAGACCTTTGCACACATGGATATTCCTGTATATTCCCAGAGACAGGCTGTTGGTCCGTGTAATAAAAGGGAAAAAAAGACCAGAAAGAAGAACAAATTTAAAAATTAATCTCTATTTCATTGATTCAAAACTTACAAATAAGCAAGCATACAATTCACAGCTGTTTAAATGTCTAATAAACTCTGATATTTGCAACTTCGAATCCATTCCTTATTTATCTCCCTCCCCTTCCTGCCGGTGTGTCAGACCCAGAGACCTCCTCATTTGGACCCCCGGCTTTTACGTTGGCGAATCACAAAGTGTTGGCATCTATTGCCTTTGTCTGACAAGTCATCCATATAAGCAAAAGGGGGGTCTGCAGAGGGGAGGAGAGTGGGGGGGACGGGGGGGGACGGGAGGGTTGCAGCTTTTAGAACCACAGACACAGAGAGAGGCTTCATTCCCAGCCCAAAGATCCAGCCTAACGCATCCAGCGCAACAGAGAAACCCGTCGTGTATGTGTGTGTATGTGTGTGCGTGTTTCTCCGCCGTTTGTGACGCTTGAATCAAGGCCACCAGGATTGAGGAGATACCGGGCCCTGCACGCTGGACCTCAACGTTTCATTCTCTTAAAAGAAACGCGTTGTGCTCGTTGGCACGCTGTGAGAATTACCTCTTGTCACTCCACGGCTGTGAAAAAATACCGATAAACTAAACCCAGGTCGTATTCCTGAAACAATCCTCCGGTCATGCTGCGCACCTGCCAGACCTCCGCTCCCGGACCGGACTGTTGAAGAAAAGAAAGGCAACTTTTGGGGGAAGAAGTTGCCACCAGATCGGTTGTTGAAGCGGGGGTGGAGGGGGCAAACTAAGTCCCTCCATCGAGTAGAATCACCTTTTTTTCTTCACATTTTCATCCTTGACAGGAAGGCGAAACGGCGACTTCAGTTGATTATCTCTCTTTCCTTTGCTATCCAATGGATATTCACTGCAAAGCAGACCCCTTTACAGCGATGCACCGTAAGTAGCACAACCCGAGCTGCTCTGCCACTGCAGCTTTTAGCCTACATGAATGCGGATAAAAAAAAAAGAATGAGATGAAATCATTTCTGCATATTTCAAAGGCCGGTAGCACAGAACATGTCGAGTTTCATGTGCTAACTGCATCTTGAAAACAAACAGTTACAAGATAATAAACAGACGTGCATGCAAAAATGGGAACATAAGGTTGATGGTGGAATAAAGAATCACCTCATATTTCACACCTGACCTTATGTGTGCCAATTTCAGCCAATAAAACCCTTTTAAAAAATCTTTAAAAATACAATAAATAACAACAAGACTTCTGGGCACAGAGCAGTGATGTGCAGAAATTAAACTTGCCATAGTAAACAAAGAACATGCGTTGCCAGGTACTCTGTAATTTACACGTGTATCACCCTCCAGCTTCCCGCGCACTGTGTGTTTGTGTGTGTGCAGGCTATGTGTGTGGTGTGTGTGTGTGTCAGTTTAGGCCTAATAAGTCAGGACACATTAGTTACACATGTATTATTCAAATTATTCAAATAACTGCAAGTCCAACTTTAGCCCACATAGAGTGTGGTTTACTTGTAATTTGGTGGATGTGTGTGAATAATTGATGCCCTCTTAATTTACTAAATAATATGTAATGTGAGTAATCAAAGCTCGTTCAATTATTTAAAATTACCATGCAGGGAAGATGAGCGAGCTTGCAACTTAATAGCCAACATGAGCCGTGAAGCTGCTTATAAAATATGAGCTCTGTGTTTTGACTGTGAGGAACTTTAAAGTGCTAGAGACTCAAATAAATTAATATATTTTTTAATTATTTTCACAAATTAAACAGCAGTTAGGACACAGGCTCATGGCTCAGTGTACGTTGGACTTAATGTAGCTGCTAAATGTATGAGTTTTACATTAACAGTGTGACAGATGAAAAAATACATATATATATGCAGCAGAATTAGGTGTTAAACACATGAATGCAACCATGTGTTTTGTTTTGTAATGTGTGGCATTATTGTAATTCATTGCAATTTTAAAAGGTTAAAGATAAATTGTTTTGTTTTAAACACAAGAGGATGGACAAAAAGACAAAATCTGGTTCCATTAAAAAATAATATATATCTAAACATGCACATGCACTATATGACACTTAAGATGCAGTGTTGTGATCATCTCTACTCTGTGCCTTCTCTTAAATCACCAAAACTTCCAAATCCTCTTTTATCCATGAATTATTTGGAATAATGCCTGACAAAATATTATTAGTTGGTCATTGTGCTGTTTTCATGAAACGTTTAAAACACAGACAAGTAAGGGGCCTCAGTGATGGCTTTAAACAACTTTCTGATTTGTACAAAAAAAAAAAGAAAAGAAAATAATAATAATAGCCTAAGAGATTTTTTTTTAGAAATATTAACGAATAAGTTTTCATTCAGGAATGTTGAATGTGCAGCATTTCATGCATCCTTAAAGGTTTCTCCATAACACCATAAATACATGTAAATCCACCTGCTCAACAGAAACATGTCAGGGACGTTTAGCCTAGTTATGCTGGCTTATAGAGGATATTTTCCGTCTCTATTTTTGTCTCCGCTAAAATTCAGAAACCATGTCACCTGTGCTTTCCTCTCCCTAACGACTTTATGTAATGTTACGGTTGTGTGTCTGCTGCTGTTGTATCCCACGTAGGGCACGGAGGTGTGAACCAGCTCGGCGGGGTGTTTGTGAACGGCAGACCCCTTCCGGACGTGGTGAGGCAGCGGATCGTGGAGCTGGCCCACCAGGGCGTCCGGCCCTGCGACATCTCCAGGCAGCTGCGGGTCAGCCACGGCTGCGTCAGTAAGATCCTGGGCAGGTGGGTGAAGAGTCTCCGGCCAAGTCCTGCAGCCAGGTAGACTCTGCTGGGTTAAAGGAAGTGGTTGACTATACAGCCATGTACAGTGGGGGGGGCGGTGGTGAAGGAAAACTGAACCTATACAAAACTCAGTTTTTTTCATTTCCAAATTGATTCAATTATATTTTAATCTTACTAAATTACTATTTTTGAAGATTTGTATAGTTCAGCTGGGGTTCTCTTCCATTTTTTTGTATGTGTGTTTATTGAAAAGATGAAAACCATTTTTTAAGAATGACATCTTTGCCGTCTTTTCATGCATGCGCTTATGCGTTTTTTCTTGCATTTTAATTCATTTTTAAGGAAAGCTGTGTTCGTTTAGAGACATCACGAATGTTTGAAGACTCAGTCCAATGTGATAATCTAGTGTGATGTTTTGCTAAGTAAGAGTTTGACTTTCTTGAAATGGTATTCTCACTGTAGCTTCTAATCAGTGGGTGTTATCAGTGCTTTTAAAATTGAAAAAGCAATTAACATCTATAGGCTATCTGCAGAATTGCGTCTTAAATACTGCAAGCTATCTTCTCATTGGAGAATATAATTTTTGTGCAGATACTACGAGACTGGCAGCATCAAACCAGGGGTGATTGGTGGGTCTAAACCTAAAGTGGCCACGCCAAAGGTCGTGGACAAAATCGCAGACTACAAGAGGCAAAACCCAACCATGTTTGCCTGGGAGATCCGAGACAGGCTGCTGGCAGAGGGCGTCTGCGACAACGACACTGTTCCCAGCGTCTCATCCATTAACAGGTAGGAAGCAAAATTCAAATATGACCTTAAAACATGGATACAAACATTGGGATTTTTTTGTCTTTTGTAATTTTTTTTATAGTTTAAACAAACTGGCTGCAGGATGTAAACACTTTAATGAAGAGGGCCGGAAGAGCGCAGATTGAGAATCAGTTATCGCAGTGTATCTGTGCTCAGCGCAACACCCACAGAATATTGTTTGAGCAACTTTGTGCTGCCCGGCACGCCGAGGCTGCCTGAGGTCTCAGAGGTGCAATTCAATCTTTCAGACCAAACTCCCTCAACAATCAGCAGTACATCCAGGACTGAGTGAATCTGTCGAGATGAAAACCGATCAATATTCGGTGACCAGATCCCGTGGCGCTATAAAGCAGGCCAATTTTCTTTAGCACATCTAATGTGCTTGAGCTGCTATACACATACAAACGGAGGGAGAGCAGCACTGGATTTTCTGCTGAGTTTTTTTTTAAGAAAACGGAATTGAGGGGTGTGTGTGTGGGGGGGGGGGGGGTAGATTGGCTGTAATTCGTGCAAATCACGTCACGTGTCACGTGAAAATAAGATAAGATAATAATAAAAAAATGTGCAGAATTACATTGTAGGCTAATAAGGCAAAAAAAAAAAAAACGCTTCCTGTGAGGCTTAAAAGTCACTTCCTGTTGATCAAGAAGACTCCTGATTTAAATCCTTGCATTTAAATTCAAGGTGATACCTTGCTGTAATTAATATTGATGTAACATTATGATGATGCATAAAAGTGCAAGTATCAATTTTGCCTTGATTGTGGCATTAAACCACACATAAAAGGCTTATGTGACAAATGATCTATATATATTTAACATTTCAAGGATCATTATTTATGCTACATATCTTCTGCTTTCTTAAAGCAATTCGTAAACAGCATTTTAGTTATAGAATGGCAGCTACAGGAGGACCCAGGACAGCCCCCCCACCCCACCCCTCCTCACCTCTCCTCACCCCTCCTCACCCCCCCACCAGAGATCCCTGGTGATGAACTTTGGTTAAGAGGCACTGTTCCATAGAGCCAGCATCAGCATTACATTTTAATGAGCTGATGGGAGAGCATGGACAGCTCCACACAAGACATCTTTTAAATAGAGAAAAGGCTGAAGAAAATTCATTTCATGCTTCGTGGCTGCTTAAAAAGCCCCATTTAAGGAGGCTCAGACACATGTATGTGATAAATTCAAAACGTACATTAATATCATTAAAAGAGCCCCATAAAGTTTTTTTTTTTTCAATTCCAATTAAAGCTTTCTATTTTGGACCGGGGGGAGCCTTATGTGTCTTTGTTTATGTGGGAAATTAAATTGTGAATACAAAGAACTGTAATTCTATCAGCCAAATACAGTATGAGAGCTACTTAGAATTTCTATTAAGGCTTAATGCTGAATATTTTCCTTTTTTTTTAAGAAGAAGAAATGCAAGATTTCAATAGTTGGCTCTGTACTCCAGTGCCACACACACACACACACACACACACACACACAATGGAACATACACACGAATGAGGTGACACGCACATTTGTTTTGATTTAGCTGGAGGTTAATATTTCAATACATGCTTGAATTTCTAAAGGAGCAGTCTGAAAAAATCAATGAAAACATCTTTAGTGTTTCAATCACTGTAGCTGACTTGATTCCAGACCATCTGAAGCTACTACTATGTTGTTGTTTTTTTAAAATCCCTACAAAAATTAAGTTTGTCTTAAAATAAATGACAAGAGAAATTTTCACTCAAAGAGTTTTTCCCGTTAAGACGATTCAGAATTAAAAACAAAAAGCGAAAGACTGGAACCAAGGTCTTTTCCAGTTGGATGATTCTGACTGGGGCCAGTCGTGGGTTATTGTGGCAGACAGTCTGACCTCAGGACTGTTGACAAAAGAGGATGCTCTATTTAAACACCTTTCCCCTGCATGCATTATTAAATGTGACAGAGATAGTGTTGTAGTACGAGTCAGGGCCACCACAACCGACAAGTAACGCTACTCTGTTGGTAGACATAAACAAAAAAAGGTCCTCAATGGTACTAGATATTATTGATTCAGAAGGAAAGCAATTTTAATATTTCTTGAGGGGATTTTCAGCAACAGCCAGGTCATTAATTCATTCTCCCAAATTGCTTATTCAATATCAAGAACATGGATACCAAATAAAGTCTTTGAATTTATGTAGCACACACAAGTCAAGGGGTCGAATAACTGTTATGGGGAGAAGTGAAAAAAAAAATGAAAACATCAATATGCTCTTTCTGGAAAGGCTTGTTGTTAGGTAGTTTTGCCTCCAAGGGGAGTTTTTCTTTTCTCTTTTTTTGGCACCTACAGTAACGTCAATATCCAAATCATCTGATGCATTTCTGGATAATATGGACAAAAATGCAAGAGGAGTGTCTTTGAAATTGTAATCTGAGTGGGTAAATATTTTCATTCCACTGAATAAAAGAATAAATAAAAATAAAATAAATAAAGGACAAAGGAACAAATTCTGAATTGTGCAAAGAAATCAACCCTAAAAGGATCCGTAGACCTGACCCAGCCTGTTTTCCATGTGCTTTAAAATAGCTCTTGTGGCATTCATGATGAATAGTTTTAAAGTTTTCAAATTATTGTGACAGCTCCCTTTCTCCCCAAGTGCCATTCAGATTAAAGGAATCTAATGCTGGCGTAAGCTTGTGCAAGGCAATAAGGAACTATTGCTTTCCTGTCACATATAATTTATAGCTTTCTATTTGCATCTGTTTGCCCGTGTGACTAATCCCCAACTTTTGCTCCCCAAGCCCCGATCAATACAACCTCATCCGTATTGGCACATGTGGGCCACTGGTTCTACTGAGATGTTTGATCTGGGCAGCAAAAGGCTACTATAGGGCTGTGATCAGCCCCTGTGAACCCACCCTCCACTCCACCACCACCACACACACACACAGTGGGGGGGAGAGAGAGCTGATTAGTGCGGGCCAGGTAGAGTCAGTGAAGCTGATCATTGAGGTGAATTGATGTGATTTCATGCTTTATTTGCAAGATCACTCAGACCAAAAGTGCAATGAAGACTTTTCTCCACACCTCACCTTAGATCCAGTCTTGCGTATGCGTTGCGTCTGATCTCTTAATCACACAATATCTCCATAGTAGCTGCTGTGACCGAACAGTGCGCTCACATTAGGGGCAGTTTGGAAATCTACAGGAAGGGAAGTCGGGGTCATAGAAAAGCAGCAGTGACAAATTATTATTATTATTTTTTTCCACCAGGATCATCCGAACAAAAGTCCAGCAGCCTTTCCATCCATCTCCAGATGGGACATCCCTGTCAGCACCAGGCCATACTATAGGTAACGCTGCAGCTCACGACATCAGCTTCAGCAGGGGCATCATATGGAATCACAGCACATGCTGTACATGCATGTATTCATTTTATTCATGTCTTTTTTTCCCCAGTACCAAGCACAGCCTCTCCGCCTGTAACCAGCGCCTCCAATGACCCTGCAGGATCGTACTCCATCAATGGGATTCTGGGTATTCCACGATCCAATGGTGAAAAGAGGAAACGAGATGAAGGTAAGATAATATTTTTTTGTCCTGAGGGGGAAAAAACACATAAGCTCAGCTCAGGATTAGTATTCAGAAATGTCTAAAATCCTAGAAATAAAAAAAGCTAAAAAAAAAATAGAATTATTTGCAGCTTTATGCTCTAAAACCCAATTTGCTGAACTTGCAATTGCAACATTAAATTGCTGCTTCAGTTCCAGTAGATGACCCTTATAAAACACCTAAGTCTGAACTCTGTTACACCGCTGTGTCAATCTGCCAAGGAGTCTTTTGATTTGAAGACACGACCTCCACTGTTGTCTCCTGCAATTAATCTTTATGGAAGTGATTAAAGGGCTTTAGATAATTACATGTCAAGATGATGTAGCCAACCACCCGGGTCAGTCAAGAAAGCCGCTATAGCTCTGTAGAAGGCTTTTTTTTGTCTTTAATAAAAGTGGCTCCATTTCTGCTGCTGAAGTAGTAGGTTAGTGGATATAAGGGGGCCTGAGGCGATATAGATTATTGGTCCTGTAAGCAATAGGCTTCCTTAATGTCACTACATAAGTAGCTGAGAATAGCTAAACAGACTCATTCATGTTAAAAGGCATGTATGGGTATGGAGGGATGATGTGGTTGCTGAAAAGGGGCAGTTATCTCAAACAGGGTGGGGAATGAGTGCCTTATTTCTTCAGTGCTCTGGAATGAGAGCTAATCAGAGCACGGCAGTAGTTTACATAGCATCTTCTTTGTTCTGGCGTTTGTTGAGAAGCATGGGGGTTTGCGGGATATTGAGTGGAATTGATGTTTTATGTGCGTGCAGGGAGGGAGGGATGACTAATGACCTGTCAGAGGTAGATTTCCTGGCAAAGATATAAAAACCAGCATGACGTGGACATGGCAAATGACATAATCAAGTCTTTCCCTGTAAGAGATGCAATCGCGGGGGCATAATACAAACGTCTGGTATTTTCAAGGGTTCATTTTCAGTCGTTCGAGGACCTTTCATATTAGCCAGGGTGTAATGTCTAGTCACTGAATGATAGAATGCATACATTTCTATGCAGATTGCCACTGAAGGGCAAAGTGGTATTAAAGGGTATGGGGAGGAATAAGGTATGTGTGTGTGACGGGGAGAGCTGGCCTGTTTTGTGGAGGTCTTCCAGGTGACAGCGCCATGTTTCTAGGGCTATTCAGTCTCAAATGATTCCCCTGATGTGCTGCCATTTCTGTGATTTAGGTGCTCGGCCAACATTACGATGAAAGAGAAGAAAGGTGTGCGTGTGTGTGCGCTTGTGTGTGCGTCAGGGTAGGACTTGCACTGAGGGTGACGGAGGGAGCTGTGGTTCTTATATACTCTCTCAACGGCCAGCTGGTGCCTACCTGGAACCACAGGGTCAGGGATACTTTATCTTTCCAAAAGATAAACCCCAGGCCTTGGCCGCGCACACACGGTTGCGAAAGCAATGTCTCGCCTCAGGCCACAGTTTGTAAGAATAGTATATTACCTACTATGTTACCCTGTAGACACTATTGTCCTGTTGCTGTCTTCTTTTAAAGTGCACCTTACCCTAAAAACAAAAACAAATAAAACCACCTGAATTTCAATATTTTGCAGCTTGTAGGCTGGAGTAAGCTCTAAAAAAGGGCTGTAGCCTTAATTTAGGACACTAAAGTTGCTATCAGTATTTTGGGGGTGGGGGTGAAGGTTTTTGCAACCATGAGTAACTTTTAATTCAAGGGTAAATTGAATGTCATCAAGAAAATAGTAAGTAATTTTATTTTGATATTTAGGCTGCAGCTGCAGTATGTCATAACCCAGGGGTGTATATGGCCTTACATAACCATGTATTATTATTTTGGGTGTGTATTGTTGAAAGAACATCATAACAGATGCCATATTTGACTATATTTCCCATAGATACCAGTAACTGTTTTTAGGGGCCTTCTTTCTTGTCATTCATTCATTCATTTGCACATGCATTGCAACATTTACACTGAAACGACAAGATGTTTAGTCCCTTTTTAAGAAATGATCAAATGCTATAACCATAAGCCTGCTGGTTTACTGGTCTTTTTTCTAACCAAACAAGGAAAAAGACACTACATTAAAGACCTTAGTATGTGGAAAGTCCTGGCTCTAAAACCAAACAAATAGAAGTAACAAATATATTTGTGCCATTACTGTCATGTTTCATGGTCAATTTTGGTTGAAAAAAAGTGTTTTCAATGGTTTCAGTGTTGCCTTGTTTGCTATTCAGACATATTTTGCTTCGCTCAGTAGGCAGTAGTCTATATCCAGTTAATGCTTGGATTAAATTTCCTCACAGCACAGTAGCTTGCCTGAGCCCTATTTAACTTGGTAAGCCTCATGATGATTATGGCACAAGCAGTCATTATCAAGGGTTGAAAACATGAACAAAAATGAGCGAAGGAAAGGAGGGTAAGGGTTAGGGAGGGGAGGCGGTGTGCAACACAAGCCCCGCTGAAATGAATTGGCTGTGTAGCCCCCAGTATTTGTTTTAGGCAGTCGCTGTGGCTCTCTGCCAAGCAGGCAGACAGCTCCTAAGTTTCCAAGTCAGCAGTGCCCTTAAAAAAGGTCCCCCATTACAGGAGGGATGTAGAGATAATGTAGTGTGACACACGTTATGTACACTGGGTCTCGGCAAGAGGAGCTTCAGGGACACAGGTGTCATAAGAGCCATTAATCTGCTATTGTCACATGTTATTGCAAATTAAAAGTAGCATGTTACACTTGGCAGCCATTGTTGCGGATGGACAGAGTGAGGGAGAGAGAGAGAGAGGGAGACCTCTGGAGATGGTGTCTGTGGTGACCACGGCTGTCCGCACGTTTTACAAAGTGACATATATTAGAATGTGCAATTCTGCAGAGAAAAGCTATTACCTCACAGATTAACATCCAAGTACCCCACATCCCAACTTCTCCACCCCCACTGCTTCTGGCTTCAGAAAGGACAAAGGAGAAGCTGCTTAAATACAAATCTTTCATACAGTATCTCATGTTTAAGTACGAATCTGCTTTTAATGGATGTTTTTCTTCACCTTCTTGTTATTAGTGAGCGTGTGAGAGAGCTGAATTGACCCTAGTAGACAGGTTGGAGGACTGTTGAGAACATGCAGCGTCCATGAAGTGTGTCCGGTCTTTCAAAGTCATATCACACGTCCTTTCAGAGCTGCCCCACAAATTGCACAATCAGACCTGTAGATGATTCTTAATTTCAGCGATTCTCATTGCTTTCTCGCTTTGTGTCAGGGCTTTCTTCTTGATTTATGAGAGAAATACTAAGAGAGAAATTTCATGATAAGATGATCATCATATATTTCAAAAGCCAACAACAATAGCCAGTGGCAGTCAGAATGGATGTGATTCCGCGCTTCAGTAGCTGTTGAATTAATTATTTCTCCTCTCTGAGCGTCATGAGGACTGAACCGATGTGTGTGGATGGAGATGAGTGATGGAGCGGGCCGCCGTCACACCCTGCTCTGTGTATCAGCATCTGTTTGGGGGGAGAAGAAGAATCAACACAGGAACTCAGAGTGCAGCAAAATGTCAGCACCTAAGTGTAACCTCCAAATTAGATTAATAAGGTCTTTAAAAGCTCAGAAACATCACAAAAATATTGGTGGCCAACAGCAAGCAATGTTTACAAAATGTTCCCTTCTGAATTGTGTGAGTAATCGTACATAGGCCTGCATTATTATTTGAATTCAATGTTTAGCATATAAAATGTCAAGAAATACAAAAAAAAAATCCTGTTCCCCAGAGCCCAATGTGACGTTTTGTAATTTCCTTCCTACAATTATTTAAAACTGAGAAAGGCAGTAAATTTGAAAGTGCAAACAGAGAATTTTGGGGCATTTTTCAACTATCACAATTTTTCTTGATTAATTTTTAAGCAATCTACTAATAAATTTATCGTCTAATCCCTTTCACCACTAATCACCACAGCTTTGGTGATGCAGAACAAACATATCACGTTCCAAATACAGTATTTCATTTATGTTTACATAATCAAAACATTCAATTAGAAAAACAAAATGCGGCTGAGTTCATCCAATTTGTTTTAATTTGATTTCATTAGCCAAGAATTGAATCAGGCGGTAAATTATTGAGGTGTATTATTGTGAAATACATAACAATGTGTTATGGGAGCGAGAGTCTATGTATGTTGACATGTTATTTAAACAAGGAGCAGACTGAGTGGGGAGGGGTTAAGATCATTCGGGGGGGGGGGCGGGGGATTTCATGACCTCAAGGTGCCAGCTCAACTCCCCATGCCGCAAACAAGACCTTAGAAACTCTATTTTCACTGCGTGAAAAAGCTCAAACTTTTATTCGGAAATCATTCTTTTCCTCTATTGGAGTCAAACTCTCAGAAAAAACAACTATTCATACTCTATCTACACTTGATTCACGATGATTGTCCTGTTTTTGTTTGGAGGGCTGTCACTCAGACTCACTCAGACTCCTGAAGTTGCTGTTGGCTAAAGCCTCCTGCTAGGGGTCGCGACCTCTGGGTGCCAAACCCGCAGAGAGGAGTCTGCTTTATAGAGCTGGTTATCTGATCTGATAGACGCTGCTCCCTCGTTACCGGAGTGTTAATACAGGCCGATGTCAAGATGAATACACTCAACTCCAGTGATGATCAATAAACGACCACAGAGCGGGACAAGCGTGTAACGCACCGACAAAGCCATTGTGGTCAAAGATTAGTATAATGGGCGGATTTGGAAATGTCCAAATAATGGATCTGTCTTCTTATAGTGATGATAAGTGCTTAAAGATACTTAAACACAAAAACACATGAAAACTTTTTCTAATTGTAAATATGTCAGTCAAACATTAATAATTTGTGACTAAATGAGCAAAAAACAGACATTAAGTTAAAAAAAACAGAACTAGTACAAATTAATAAGAATGTAACTCCCAAAAAGTCAACTAGTCAGGTGCTTTGTCAGGTGGTATCTTCTGGCCAACATACCAAACAAACAAGCCACCATCAGATTTGTGTATTGTTGAATTGTGTTTCATCAAAATACCATGCCAGCTTTGTCTGAGCTCCGATGAAACACAAATGCAGAAATCTCTCGTGAAATAACCAGTATTCCTCTAACTTAAAAAAAAAGAAGAACTTGACTCATCCTTCAAATGATATGACTAAATACATTGCTTGTAACTGCCCTTCAGAATGGCACACAAAAGCATTTTCTGATCTGATGTCTCTGAAATGTCACTGTTGAAAAATAAATTGGTTTTATCATCTTACACAGTTGGGGTTTGGTTAGGTTTAGGAACAAAAACAACTTGTTTAGGGTTAGGGAAAGAGCATGGTTTGGGTTAAAACCTTTTTTAAGAGACCTTTGTGGTTAGGGAAGGTTAGGGAACAATCATGGTCATGGTTAAAAGACACTAACTTTGACTGTCGGTAGGAAACGAAAAGCAAACAGTTGACTCCTGTGTTAAAGTCTGACACTTTGTAGCTCTGTAATAATGTCACACTACTTTCTCCTTTGCTCCTGACGGACTGGAGTCATAATTTCTATGACTGCTTGAGGGCTTTGTCTCTTAAATGTACACACATGTAATTTCTGGGCATTTGCTAAAGCCGCTGATGCTATAGTTTGTTTTTGGGGAGGACAGTCTTGGAAGTGATCAAGGATGCATAAACTTGATTTACGCTCGAGAAAGCATAATTACACCAAAATTATCTTCATCACCAAAACACAGTCGTTGCTGATCTGTCAGATGGGAATGAGTAGTTGAGAGGGCAGATGGGACTGTCCTCCGTCTGAGTGGGAGGAAGAGTGTGTAGGTTGACCCAGGATGGTTTGTCTTGTGTGTGGGAAGTGTATTCCACAGTAGTGAATGACAAATATGGTGGGAGGTATTGATCAGGTGTTGTGGCTCGGGCCAGCTGAGGGAAAGTAATTAATGACTCTATTTGCTTTGGTAGCAAAGAGAACAATTGAGTTTGATGAAGTGACAAGCAGTAGCTATAGCAGGTGAGTGCCTTCACTGAGGCTGTGCAGAAAATGTGCTGAATATTCACCTGAATGTCCCGAAATGTTCAGATGAGCAACAGATTGGGAAAAATCTGTAGTTTTCAGTTATGTTAACCTCTTAAAGGAATAGTTCAACCTATTCACTTTTTTTTCCAAGAGTTGCATGAGTCATATCTGCCTGTTAGGTATGAAGCTACAGTCAGGACACACTAAGCTTTAATCCGTCGCTTGTCATTTTTGTTGCTGATTGGAAGATTTTTTTTAAAACTTTTGGTCCGAGCCAGGCTAGCTGTTTCCCCTTGTTTCCAGTCTTTATAATAATAATAATAATCTTTATTTGTAGAGCACTTTTCAAAAACAAGTTACAAAGTGCTTTAACAAGTGTAAAGACAATAATACAAAAACAAGACAATAATACAAAAACAAGAGACAATAATACAAAAACATGCTATGCTAAGCTAACAATCTCCTGACTGTAGCTTCATATTTACAAGACAGACACAAGAATGATCTTGATCTTCTAATTATTAAGCAAATGTCATCTAAAATACTTAAAAACTATAGCTATAAAAACACGACATCTTGGGTTTGATTACACCACTCAGCTTTATAAAAAGGTTGGAACAGGCAGGTACATAATACACATCACTGTCCTGTGAAAAATATGTATTAATAAGTATTATAATATGTAAAAATAAGTATTTCCAACATATCAGCCTTATGTAAACTTAGAAAACACTTACTTTTTAAGCTAGATTACAAAGCTTTCTTGAGTTAATTTGGTTAATTTTGAAATGGTTGAGAAGCATACCTAATAATTCAGTTTATGTGTCACAAAATTTGGAGTTATGTGGTTTTCACTGAAAAGTGGCATACTCTCATACAGTGTGGAAAAAATGCAAGAATACAGAGGTAATGTCAAGGGTTTCACAAACTACACACCATGACAGATGACACTTTGAAGGGTAAATGGTTGTGATGCACCAGTCCAACCTTTTCTCTTCCAAAACCGATACCTCAACTCAGGTTATCTGCTTATACTGAGTACAGATCCGCTACCAGTGCTGTCTTTACCCTTATGCAAGGTAACATGAGGACAGATGACCATACCTCCAAAAATCGGCCGCAATGACTGAATTAACTCATAGCAAAAGCGTTTGATTGCTATAATGACACTTACAAGAAGCTAAATTTAATGTGGATCGGTCATATATTGGCCAAAACCAGACCCACCTAATATGGTCAGTTTCAGCACCGATAATGACCCGGCTTATTGGATCGGTGCATCGCTTGTAAATGAGTCCTGCATTCATTTCTGCAGTGAAAACAGAAAAAAATGGTTAACAAGACATAGTTAGCAATCTCAGAACTTATTTATTGCATGACATTTTTGCAGCTATCAGCACAATTTCAGGTTACACACACTCACACGTGCACACACACACACACTCACACACTCTTTTATAGCTCCTTCAGCCCTTCATGGGAGAGTCGGGTTCATCTTCTGGCCTCAGTCTGTGAAAAAAGGTCAAGCAGCAGAATAGAATGGCAATAACCCTCCCAAATGGTACTATCACACAGACATGATTGATCAATTGAATTCCATGGCAGAGAAAAATGTGGGATTAAGTAGAGTATTATACGCACAATGAGTTGAGGCATGATGTTCATTTCAAGTTCATTTCAGCTCCCTCTTGCCACCAGATCAGGCAATCAATAGGGGCCTTGCATATCATATATCACCACTCTCCCACTGAGGGGAGAACATAATCTGCTGCAAATTTAGAATGACAGATTTGTAAGGGAGCTGAAGCTTTCTGGGATCTGGGGAGGAGACATACAGAACACAGCCACTGCAGCCAGGAGAGGTGGGGGGGATGGAGAAAGACTGGGGGAGAGACGGAGGGAGGGAGGAAGGCTAGGATGGTCTGTAAAGGCTTTAACGCGTTGCACACAAGTGACAACAGGAAAAGCTAAGGCATCCTTCTCCCAACAGTCGAGTAATCAGGTCAGGAGTCAGAAGGAAATTCCCGTGTTCTGAGAGCAGGATGATTGAACTAGACTGTAAGATTTTATTCAGCTTCTTGTCCCTCGCCGCTGTTTCCAAATGGAACCACACACTCGCAGAGAATGAAAGCAGTATTGAATTGTGAAAGGGAAATTGTGCTTAAAAAAAACTGCTCTTTATTTCAAGCGAGCAGCAGTCAGGTTTGGGGTGGGAAGGAGGGGTGGGGGAAACCTCTGACTGGAATGAAAAGGCACTATAATGGGCTAGCTGCTGCTTTCATTATTATACATGCTTGCCACAACATGTATATATTTGCAAGTGATGGTAATCCATCAATTACCAGAGGGCTTTCAAATCATGATGGTGGTACTACTGTGGTAGGGGGTGCAAGAAAAAGCCTGTGTGATGTAGCCAGTGGCTCCCTACAACCATTAAGGGGCAGAAAAAACCTGCACTCCATCCCTTTCTGTCCTCCTCAGGTCCCCCACAGAGGTGGTACAGAAAACACATGAGGAGAATATAAAGTGCATAGCTTGAAGTGAAGGCCAGCTTCCCAGGGTCAGTGTCTCGATTGTTGCTCTTTCTTCTTGTAGATGGTTCAGATGGTTCTGGCCCAAACAGTGATTCTCAGGGTAGTGTGGAGAGTTTACGGAAACACCTTAGGGCAGATGCCTTCACTCAGCAGCAGCTGGAAGCATTGGACCGGGTCTTTGAACGCCCCTCTTACCCTGACGTCTTCCCTACATCGGAGCATATCAAACCTGAACAGGTTAGTAGCACTGCAACTTACAACTATTTATTTTTCTTCGCATACAGTAAATACACCCAAATTGTGCATGTGATGCTGAATGAAGAAAAAAATACACTTATGTCACAAATATTCCCAAACCATCTCCAGAAACGAAAGCTAATTAAACAAACGTCTGAGATGTCCACGCACTGGATTACTACCCAGCATGTATAATGCTGGAGGGATCACCAGGAAAACTCCCACACATTATTGATTTTATGATGAAAAACACATTCCTTGTATCCCCTATAATTGAGAATAACAGTAAGGCAACATGAAATTAATCAATACCTAGATTTTTCTTCATTTATGCTGTGTTATTCAACTGCTGCTCCTTGCCTTTGTTGTTTATTTTCCAATTCTTTGTCATATCTTGATGTTTAATGACTCATGCAGTCTCAAAGGCTGCATTTATTGTAACATGTATTCATGAAATGAATGCATTAAAACTGTATATCCATGCTCCTTCGTTCTGACATTAAAACCACACTCGCCATCCATCCTCATTTAAAAAAATTAAGAGGCATGTTGGGAACAGCCACCCCCACGCCAAAACGACACCCAGAAACCACCGCTTATTAAAAGCTCTGGGCTTATTACAATGGATAACCTTTATTTACTTTCATTATACTATTAAACAACAAGAGACTATTAATTTCTCCCACCAAACTACAAGTTGGACCCATAAAGCAAAAGCAGTCGCCTAATTGAGTTCATTTTAATTTCTCTCCAATCGGGGCGAATTACGCAGGTGATAAATCAGTGGGACAGGCCTCACCTCCAGAAGAGGGCCTAATTTGCAGCTAATTACAAAGCTGATTTCTACTGGAAGATCAATACCAAAACGAATTGGAAATGACTTGCAATCACAAAGAGCGTCAGGGAGAGTATTAAAAGGCAGAGGGAAAAGGGTTAGACAAAAAAAAAAGAGGGCAAGTAAGGAAAAAAGAAAAAGGAGGCTTGGAACAGTCTAGAAAAATCAGGTTTAATTTAATGCAATATTAATCAGAGCACTTTCCCTTTCATGGGTGCCTCACGTTGTATTTTTCTCTCCTCTGGAAAATGTGGTCCCATTAGCCAGTGTCTGGGTTCTGTAGCGAGGCATTAAAAACCCATTCTGGAGATGCAAAACGCAATGGATTCACCCCTCCCACACTTCTGCTAGCCATTTGGTCATCCCTTTCAGAACTATCTTTTCAGTTTTCCCCCTTCTGCCCTTTATCTGCATGATAAAACGTCTGTTTGGCGTCTGAAGCCTCCAAGAATAGAGGAAAACATCCGACATTGTGCCAGTGAACAGTTGTAGCAGACAATTAGAGTTTATCGGTGATAGTGGCAGACAAGAGCGGGGTCACGGGCGTCCCCCTGTGGGAGCGCGGCCCACTGAGCCACTCAGGCTCACACTGGGCTTTGGATAAACATTGTCAACACTCAGACTCCGGAAGTCTCATCTCATTAAATAAAAACCGGCAAACATCTGTCACATGACGATGAGAGACGAGCTGAGAAGAAATTATTTCTTTTAAATTATTAAAGGGAAAATTCACCCAAATTACAAAAAGAAACATTTGTTTTTATTTGCTGACATTCCATTGAATGGGATTACCTCAAAGTATTGAATATGTTTCTTTAAACAAATTCAACAGCAACATGTCTTTTCAGAAACAATGTTCCAGTTAATCTGGTAATCCACAGACTTGGCTGTGAACAGTTTTTATTGGAACTGCTTCTACTCAGGAAACAGTCCCAATGAAAACTGATTTCTGTTGATTATCCAGTGTAACCAGGACGTTGTTTCTGAAAAGAAAAGATACTTTGGGCACCAACTGAATAGCAAAAATCTCAAAACATTGTTTAGAAAACATCAAGCATTTTATATTAAAATATTTTTTTAAGTAAATGAAAATGCATTGTTTTGGTATTGTTAGTGGGATAACTTGGATATTATATTGGCACCAGTATCAAAAGTTTTCAAGCCATACCAATCCTACCATTTAATTAAAATTGTTCAATGTTAAAGATTAAACCAGCACAAATGCACAAATTCCACTGACCTCTGTTAAATTGGGGTTGAGATGGAAGTTTCAGAGGTGGACATTTTAAAATCTGGGCACATAGAACCCAACTGTCTTTGTCGCTAGATACTGCACTAAAAATATGTTGTTTTTTTGATTTGGGTGAACTAATCCTTTAACACAGCTTCTGATTGCACACAAAAACGCAGACAGTTAAATGGTAACAAAAAGAACAAGTTGTACAAGTGACTCTATTCAGAGATAAGATGTAATGAAATTTAAAGGTGGTTTAGACTCCAAATTAAAAACAAAAAGCAAAAAAAAAACAGGTGAATTGTGTCTCTCAAACAGGGCCACATGGTGTGCCTGTAACAAAGCAGAACTGCTTTCTCCCTTGGCTGATCAGGGGTAGAACTGCAGTCAAGCACAAAGGGCCAGCTGACGCCTTGGCTTTTCACTCATCTCAAAATCCCACTTCCTCTCAGACAATACCAAAATACATTCATGATATGCTTGAACTGCCACCCTGCAGCTTGAACACACACACACATACACACACACACAATGCTCTCATACAAATTTATACTCGCACAGGCCTGTGTGGAGTGCTTAATGGAGGAGGAGAAGGGAGGATTTCCATCTAGGTATTGTTTGGTTGTGTAATGATTCAACTGTCCTTTTCCCAGGCTAATGAGTACTCGCTCCCTGCCCTGAATTCCAGCCTGGACGAAGTCAAGCCCAGTTTATCTTCTAGCGCCAACCCAGACCTGGGCCCCAGTGTGTCACAAAGCTACCCTGTAGGTAAGATCAAGTGTCATACAGTACTCCTTTATGCTGCCGAACCACAGCTTCAGCTGAGGGGGTTTTGAACAATGTAAAACAACAAGAAAGCAATGCTTGTGCAATTGACAAAAAAAACAATGAAATGTGTGAAAATAAAAGCAAACCAAAAAGTTAAGTGTGAAGACTTTTTTAATACCATTTCACTCTGAGCTGAAAAGGTGGTACAATGATGCGATAAAATCTTAGCAGCTGTCCTCCGTCTGTTTTCTTTTCCGCTGAGTAAGCAGAGCAATAAGAGAGATTGTTGGGGGGGGGGGGGGGCTGTTCAGTCACCGCTGGACAAGGACCTTTGGGTGTCAGCACATCAGAACTATGACTGTGTATCAGAGCAAGGTCTCGCAAGAAAAAAAAGAAAAAAGGCCACCATGCAGGACTGACTGTTTGTTGGCTGCTGCTGTGTTGCTCCTGTGATTTGTTCGCTGGGAGACAGTTTGTGTGTCTCGAAGCACAAGTAATGTGCCTCAGTAAATATGCTCTGGCATTTCTGCCGCCTTACTCTAACACCATGATCATTTATTTCACCCTCCTATCTCTCTCTCCTTTCTCTCCCCCACCCTCGTCGTCTCCTCTCCTTGTCACAGTTAATGACTGCCTGGCTAATTGAAATATTGTTTAGTTGTTGCCGTGTTATTACCAAGAAGAAGGTTAAGTTTACTGAAAGTTTACGATGACTGTCGGGGGCTTGAGATTAATATACAGAGCTTTTATTAAAATTCATGTAATTATGCAGCAGCCATCAAAGGCAACGAGTTCTGCGTGGGGGAGGACAGGGTGATTGAAAATTGCAGCGGCCCCCCTTCTGAAATGATAGCCAAGCAGTCTTATGAGAAAAGAAAGGGCCCTTTTCTCATTAATATGTGGGGGGTAGATTTCCCCTGTAAGGCAGGCCTCCTGAGAAGAAAGGTGTGTGTTTGTCCTTTGTGCACTGATGGCCCCGTAGAAAGCAGGCCTGGTTCTGCAGGCAGCTTTGTTTGCACCTGGGATATTTTAGATGGTCTCTGAAGAGAGGGTCTTCTTACTGCTTTCCAGGTGCAAAGAGACATGTATAGGAAGAAAGATGGGATTGTATGCATATCAGTGTGTGTTTGTGTGTGTGTGAGTCTGCGTAAGAAAAGCATATTACTTGCTTTTATGTTAGTAAATCTGTTTATTTCATGCTCTTTTCTGGTAGTAGATCTCACTGGATGCAGAGAAATAGAGCATACAGAGGTCAAACTAATGGAACAAACACCACCCTGACTTCCACTTGGTAATTAGTATTTAGTTAGTGGCTCTCCTGCTTGGTTTTCCCTCAGTGCCTGCCTGTGTGGATATTAGGTGATATTCAGGTGTGTGGTCTCGCTAATGGCTGAGTATTACAGTTTACTTGTCAGCGATAAGCCTACCAGAGGAATTTTAAGCCATGCAAAAAGTAGTAAATTATCAGCAGTATTTAGGCCAAGATCCAATTTCAAATTAATTGTGTCTTTACGGGGGAAAGAACTGGAGATTATGTTCATCCTTAAAATGTTTTCAAACACCAATTAAAACGCCTGCAGTTATTGATCTTGTTGATTTTATGTCCTGGAATTTGCATAATCTATTAAAAATGAATGATTCATGAAGTGCTCATTGCCAGAGATCGGGATTCTCAGTGAACTGAAAGACTTGCGAGATAGAAATCTTTTGTGTCCTCTGCTTATCCTATTAAGGCTCAAAAGTACCTGCAAAGCAGGCTCAAATAAGAAAGGGATTTAAGGGCATTGTGCACATCATCGAAATTCAGAGGCAAGAAGCCACTTCCATTAAAGCTGTTTTTTTCTTTCTCCCTCTCCTCCACATTAATGCTGTATTACCTGCTAAATAGTCCCTCTTACCCCATAAAAAACACCAAAGGGTTCCATGAATATGTGGATAGGACAATTGCATATTGTGAGGTAATTTCTATTGTTGATATGGGAAGTAATTTCTTTGATGAATTCCCTTCGAGAGATGGATTTCATCTCAAGTGCTTCTTATTCTTGTTCATTCGCGCTGCTTAAAATTCAAATAGTGTGAGCCATGGGTGAATTTATGAATAGCAGAAGGAGGAGCTCTGAACTTTTTTGTGTATTTTGAGAAATAAATGGAGAGATGGCCTTGATACAGCCAATTGTCCACTATTTCTATAGAGAGTTTCGGTATTTCCTGAAATTAGTCAGAGCCCACCTGTTTTCTTGAAGGTGCTTCAAACTTAAGAGCCATCTTCGAGTGCTGAGCTGATTCCCATGAGCACTCAGTGGGAGTTTTACACATTTCCACGCAGTGACTGCATACTGAAGACTCTTTAAACATATTCCCTGCTGGGCCTGTTAGTGGAGGCCTCCAAAGGCTTAAAACCCCTGTGTCAATGACACTTCTCTTCCTCAAGCAGCTGCTTCTGCACACTCCTTTTGTCAGTTCTCTAAACAAAACTTCATCCAGCAAACGCAATTATCCACACTTCAATTAAGGTGAGTGAGCACTCTCAGGGTGAAATGCACAGAAACTATCAAGACCTGCTGTTGTCCAGTGAGCAGCGAGCAAAGATCAGACAGCGAACCTGCCGTCAGTGATGTGTGGCCTCATGACAAAGCGCTTGCCTGTCTCCCCACAGGGGAAACGCCGGCCCAGGCTCCGAAATTAATGCTTATTTCGTCTTCGCAAAAGCAAACTAACCTTTGAGCACACATTTGATAATGAATGACTTTCAGCCGGTGTTTGGGGAATTAAACCAATTTGGCTCTCCAAACATTCTTTACTTAGTTGTAATTAATTAGGGTGTTGAGATTTTTTGGCTTGTGATAAATTGCCCTATTCTGCATATAGCCTAGAAACTGGAGGTCAAAGATTTTTGGTTGTTGTTGTAGCAAACATGAAGGTGTCCCTGTCATGCTAAATTTAATACTGTTGCAAGCAAAAGAGTCATTCACAAATGACTTTGTTCCCGTGCCAAATAGAGAGAAGGTCACCCTGCTTTTCTGTTTGTGTTTTAAGAAATGGAGTTGATGTTAATGCAAAAGCTGAGCATAACGTTTCTTGTCACGTTGTTGTGGGTTTGAGATGAAAACCCATGAATCTTTGTATTCTCACAGTGTAATCGAGTGTTGATAAAATAGTTTTCAGTCCCTCTGTGTGGTTCAAATTAGGGCAATTACCAGCAGCACGTAATGCTGTCATTGTTGTCAGTTTGTACTTGTTTGTCAAATACCTGCAAAAAACAAAACTCAAGCAATGTTGTGTCTTTAAAAATCAGAGATTTCAAGGCACACTTAGAGCAGAAAATACTGTATTCCCAGATCAGCAGAGACTGTTACAAGCCACTCTTCAAATTAAGACAGAAATCAACAGTCTTTTGTAACAGCAAACCAAAAAACCTTTCGATTGATTTTCACAGGGAAAGAAAAAGGGCAGAGGAAAATAAATAGCTTTCTTTGCTGGCGTTCAATCCAAGGGGACCGTCAGAGGGAGCAGACAACATAAAGAAGCCCATATTTTAATGAGAATCTGGACACACATCTCTGTTGTAAAAACAACAAAGGCTAGGAAGCAGCTAATGAGGCTATCATTGCTGTACAGAGAGTTCTCCAAACTGGTGCCTCTCTGAAAGAGGGCTTTAAACCGGACATAAAGCAACAGACACAGAGCGGCTGGCAGTTACTGCCAACTGTATCCTGGAATATACAAAAACAGGATTCACAGAGGCTGTGATTATTATTATCAGAGTCAACAAGTGATGAAAACAGACTGAAGTTGATGGCAAACATTCAGCATTCATAGACTGATGTTCACATTTATTTGCTGATTTCTTATTGGTTAATGCAAACCTTTTAGTAAACATATTCTTTACATCTTTACGTCAATGCTTTTGCATTCATATGTTTACACACTGTAGAGTAACTTGTGCTATTACTAAAATACATGGATGATTTTCACTCATCTACCTAAAAAAATAAACACAAACTCACCACAGTGTGTTTTTATTGTTGCTATTTAAGGTTAGAATAAAGATTGAAGTCTCCAGTTAAGGTTAAGTTGAAAGTATTGATGCCCTGATGATCCAACACACTGGACTGGTATCATGACTAATATTGATCAGGTATCGGTAGAAGTTATGCCCCACATTAAATACAGTTCCATTCATTGATATTATAAAATTGTAAAAATGCCATTTTATACATTTCTAGAACAATATCATTAAAATTGGCACAAACATTAATGGACTTTGGTGTATGAGTGTCCACTTATAGTTAAGAAGTGATGCGTTGTTACATCCTCAACATCAAAAACACAGCACTGGTATTGGAATAATTTTGGCCAATCTGAATTGGAATCAATATTTGAAGAGTAAAGGTAGAGGGGACAGTTTGATTTCTTCATCCCTGTTTACAATAAAAGCAACTTTCTAGGTCAATATTGCATTTCTTGCATTGACGTATTTTAACGAAACTGAATGTTTCCCTTGAGACTGTGCAGTAATGTCAGAAATCCTGTGCTCATTATGTATTTCATCTCTTTGAAGCAAGGTTATGAAGAGATAAGAGTATAAAACATGTATGGCCGCTATAGCAGCTGCAATAATAATGAATAAAATATTGGGTCAGTATTTGCTGAGACAGTTAAACAATAGTTACCACTGTTTACATGCACACACACGCACACATACACATGGACAAAGGCCTCATCCCTGCTGGACCTCCCACCTACAGTACTCCCACGGCTCCCTTTGACTTATGCGCACTGGCTTGTGGCTAACTAATTCTTATTATAAACGAAAGGTCCAGCATGACCTCGCTCTTCTCTGTAAAGTTCTCTAACTCCGCAGCTCTCGAGTCTCAGTGCCTTAACCGAAAGACACCTCTCACCTGGCCTCATACGACACAGCCATCAGTGCTGATATTTTCAAATAATAGAGAGCACTTGTTCAACATGAGACTTACTCATTTCTATATCATACAATTTATGTTCACAGATGAGAATGTGAAAATTAATTTTCCGTCTGTTTTTTTTGTAATATTTTACACATTATTTGTTTTGTGGCTCTGAATTAATTTGTCTTTCAGAGACAAATCTTGGAGCTGCTCCAAAGAGAGCCCATAACAACTGCTAAGACTCTATGACAAAGGTGTGGTATTTTTATTTCAATACAGGTACATTTGATGCAGAAGTAAAAGCTCTCAGATCATTTCAGATAATTTGCTTAAGTAAAAGTAGCAGCACCACAATCATCATTATAAGTCCTGCATTAAGTGGATCAGCAGAAATCTTAAAAAAAAGTCACCAAGCAAGTCATTAATTCTTCATGTCACTCTAATTCCAGTATTTTTGTTTGAATATGATTTTATAGTCCAAGATTAGTGTAATAGCACAATTGTCTTATTGGCTGGATTATCCCTTTTATGTGTTTAACTTTATGTCTTATGATTGGATATAATGTATTTATGTATGTATGAAAATCAAGTTTGTATGTATGTATGTATCAAATACAGAAAGTCACATGTGTGACTGTCTCTCTCGTACTGCCTCTTTATTTAGCTCCCCTCCATTTATAAAAAAAAGCCTTCATCCATCCATCATCACCCTACATTGAGATAGAGCCATATAAGGCTTTCAAAGCTCCTTCCACCCCCACTTCCTCCTCCTCCTCCTCCTCCTCCTCCTCTTCCTTCCCTCCTCCCCTCCCTGGCCTGAGTCCTGTGAACCTCCAGGCCTGCCACCCTGCCTCTTCACCAGATTCACCAGCCGTTTCACTCCCTGGTCCCTGTGACCCCCACTGCAGCCAGTATGCCTGCCAGCTTGTAGCAGGTACTTTAATACCCAGAGGGCTCATTTGATCACTATCAATTAAACAAATAAGTTGCATCACATGTATGAATTGGATTTTTAAGTCAATATCTAAATATGCCTGTGGTTTATGATCTTATTAGCAATGCTAAGTGGCAACATGGTTCAATTTTCAATATTCAGACAGATAAATGTGTTTATTGTTCCTGGAATGTAAAGTGTTGCAATATAGTTGTATTCTCAGAAAGAAACATGACATTTCTTTTTTTATTCATTTCGAACATACATATATATCTTTGGGGGGGGGGGGGGGGGGGGGGGGGTTAGTTTGTGTTTGTTGTTTTTTTTTTACAAAAAATGGCTTTCTCTAACTGGTGCATAAGTGTTATCTTCATTTTAATGATCTTCCTTTATTTAACCAGGTAAAAGTTTATGGGGCTGGCAAAGAGGGTATCATAAAAACATTGTTAGAACAATAAATAAACAGACTACGACAACTGAAAAACTACAAAGGAGGAATAAACAGGTTTCCAAAACTATTTCAAATACAGTAGTCATGGTACATTTAAAAGCAATCACATTGACCATCCTTATCTTATACTGTTTGTGACGAAAAACAAAAAATTACTTCTGTCTATGTTAAAGGATGCAAACGCATTTCAGCTATTAAAAAACAAAAGTGTCCAACACATAATAATGTAGGTTGGTAGTCAAGTGTTTCCCTGGACTTCGTTTGTAGCAGCAACAACATAGACAACAGTTGTCTTTTGGTGTTACAGTGCATTTTGTCCACTAGTTCCTCATTATAGCTTCATTGGGTGATGATTTCCCCTTTGAGTTCAAGTGGCCCTCACTGCTGACAATATAACAGTGGCCTCTTCTACCCCGGCCCCTGTGCAGATTGGGGTTACGTGCCGTTGTCCAATCGTCCCTGTGGCTGGCGAGGACAACCCAACCGTCACTCTTAATTAACGAACAGAGCTGAATATCTGCAACCGGACGGTTGACGCTCTGCAGAGGGGCCAGTGTGCTCGGACTTTACAGCCTCAGAGGAAAAGAGAGGAGCCTTATGGGATTCAGTAAAGGCTGTAATGAGGGCACATATTTAAGCAACCAGTGTTCAGGTGCAAACTGGCCAAAGCGGCAGCAGGCGTTATCTTGTTTTTAGCTGACTTGTTTAGGAGAGGCGCACTGATGCCTTCTGGTGTTCAGAACAGATTTAGATAACACCACATTCTTTGAAACGTATGACCCAAACTACGGTGAACATCAAGTTGTTGTGATGACTGACTTGCGGTGGTGGTGATGAGGCATGAGGTCTACATAAATCATGTTTTGCTCTGTCAAAAGTGGTGAAATGGCTGTTCCATACAATTCCAGTAGCTGGTTTGCATTTTCAAAGTGAGCACTAAAAGCAGAGATAGAAAGAAACTTATCACATTTAATTACCTTTATGTTACTTTATACTTAGTCTCTAAACATTGTACCCTTTACTACTTTGATTTGACATCTATAGTTCTGTACTTATATTTAAATGTGAAATATAAAATCAGTAAAATATGACAAATTTGATTAAACTAACATACAGTAAATATAAGAGGTCAAATGAGCTCCATCTGTTGCTAATGTTGTTCACACATTAATGCATCATATCCACTACTTAATTGAACGCAGGACTTTAACACGTAATGGAGCATTTTTGCAATGCTGTATTGGTACTTTTACTCAAGGCTCTCAACGTTTTGGTTTTCAGTGCCGAGCTTCCTGTTTTGAATCAGAAAAAGTTCCACAATCTCAGTAAAATAATATATTTCTCCTGGTCATAAATTAAAACTGGAAAGCATTCATGATGTGTGTTTTTTTGTTGTTGTTGTTTTTTCTCTCTACAGGTCGAGATATGGCCAACACAACCTTACCTGGGTATCCCCCTCATGTACCCCCCACAGGCCAGGGCAGCTACCCCACCTCCACTCTGGCTGGAATGGTTCCTGGTAAGTGAGAGATTATGTCACTGCTTCATATTGTCATTAGGGTCTATTTAACAGGTGGCATTGCCCTCAAAACAAATGGGTGTAGAAGCTATAGAAGCAGAGGGAAGAGACTTTAGCGCCAAATTATGCAGCTAGGCGATAATATATTGACCTGCAGAGTAAGAGGCTCACACATCCTTATATTAGTTCTGTGTGTATGATTGGATTGGACAGGCTGAATAAGTATTAGAGACAGAGAAGAGGATAGTCGCTCTCCATTCCGTCCCGCCTTCCTCTCTGCCTTATTGGCTCATTATCTCCCCGCGTGGCCGTTTGGGCCGGTCATCGATAAACAGCACTACCAGCCCTCTCCAGCCTCTGCGCTCCAGAGCATATCCCTCTCCCCTCCTCTACTTAACCTGCAGTTCAGGTTCACAGCAAACAGTTAAGGGTCAAAAAGCAGAGGCATGGGACCCCGGTAAATATTCAAATCGCTGTCTCTCTGAGGAGGCCAGGCTTGTATTTCACTGCCAGGAACAGAGCAGGGATGCAGTTTTGGTGCTGGGCTTATACGCTTCTTGAGCTCCAGCATCACCACACACACATTTTCACCAAAGCACAGCCGGCATTTTGCTTTAATGTGATTAAACCACATGGATGGGGGGACCAGTGAAGTGTGTCCTGGTTAGCATATCATTTACCAATGACACAACCCATCACAGGCTCTGGCTGTTCCTCTGTTCTCCTTTAGGAAAGGCTGCCATGAAGTCTTTCGTTGTCACCTTAACAAGAAGGTTGTCCCATTTGTTTTTGTCTGTTAGTTAGCAGATGATCTTACTGGCAAAAATATTTAAATGAAACTTGAAAATTAGGTCATGGAACAAGGAACACGAGCTTTTGTAAAGGATTTTAAAGGAATTCTGAAAGTGCCAAATTACAAAAATACATATTTTTCTTACCTCTAGTGGTATCTTGCAGTGTAGATAGTTTTATTTGTCCAGATTTTAAGATATTCATTTCTGATTTTTCTGCCACTCCAATTCAATGAAGATGAATTGAATTTTGTTTGTGGTGTTCAAGACAGACAGAAATGTTTTTTGGGATTTGGGTGAACTGGCTCTTTAAAATTGCAAGAAACAGCATTTTCAATATATTTTGGTATAATTAATTTAGTTTAGAATGCACTCTTTAAGAGTTTAAGAGTTTCCAGTTTTTCTTTCAGATTCTGTTAGGAAAAACTATTTTGAAAATATAGACTTTACATTTTTTGACACACTTCTGCAAACAATTGAGTCAATTTAACAGCTACCAGTAAAAACAAAGGGAGATGTGGTAGCACCCACTGGCAGTGCAGTCCAGATTTACTTTGACTAATAAAATGGTTAAATCATGTCGGTGGAAAAGTATCAAACATACTTTTACTTTCCATTTGTTCTTATGTAGCACAAAGCAAAAGATGAGGGCCTTAATCCCATGGCTTGTGGTTTTGTGTTACAACCCATTCATCCTATACACAACCACTAAGATTTAGTGACAGGCGCAAAACACTGTTAAAGCAAAGCCATTTCTCACCAGCTTCATATAAAATCTAGCCTTTATTGTCTCATAAAAGACAGAAATGTGTTGAACCAACAGCAGTGCTCACTGAGATGCTCCAAGTTACTTCCCCAGCAATGAAATTCTGTCGAACCAAACACCAGGGTTCAAACTAGAGGGGGTTCAGATTGGAGATGTTAAAATTCCTCCAAGAAAGGCTGCAGGATTTATTGCAGCATATCAAAAATGTATGCATGAAACTGTTTATTACCACTCTGTATTTATTAGGCCGGTATGGAATATACTGGAGGAAGAAGAATGGGTAGATATCCATAAATGGGACAGGGAAAGCCGCTTTCAGTGTCACATCCTGTATTGTTCAATGTTGCATAACTTAAGTGAAATGAAAAAGAAATAAATTACTTGCTTGACTGGTCACACAACGATGACTATCATTTTCTCCCTCAAATTGCATCCTGTTTTGAATGACGAGAAATGACTGCATGTGAAGGGGTAATGGTTTGATGTATTGAAATGCTAATTGATTTGTTGTTTTGTTTTGCAGGGAGTGAGTTTTCGGGGAACCCCTACAGTCATCCGCAGTACACAACCTACAATGAAGCCTGGCGATTCAGCAACCCAGCATTACTAAGTGAGTACACAGGATGAGAACGATTAATTGACCGTTCGCTAAACCCCTCCCCCTGAACGACTGTCCAATTGTGGCCTTAGCAACCATGAGTAGGCATGGCGGGTTTAGGATTTCAAGCTTTAGATTTCTCCACATGCCAAGGGGCTGTAATAAAATCGGAGTGATACTTGTTTGGAGGGTGGTACTGTTTGAAAATACGAGCAAGTATCGAAAGTTTTCTTTTCAGCCTGTAAAATTGGGCGGAAAATAAAGGACCCATGTTTTCAAAAACTATAAATAATTTGAGTGATAAATCTGCATCCATCGTCAATCTAAAAATGAAGCATTATGTGCTGTGCAAAAACGGTAGCATGCATGACAAACAGTTTCAACAGTAACTAAGGGGGTGGGGCTTAGGAAACGGTCAATTAACCATAATGATTTTATGTGAAAAAGCTTTTCAGTGTGGAATAATGTGTAAAAGAACAGCTTAGCAATTAAACTAATAATGATGACAGCGCATTTGGTAAATGGTAAATCTGTTGTTGTTTCAAATGGTTCGTTCTTCTGTTAACTTTCAGGTTCCCCTTATTATTATAGTGCCGCATCGAGAGGCTCCGCCCCTCCCACTGCTGCCACTGCCTATGACCGTCACTAGTTACCATGGAAACCAAATCAACCTGCAGGACCATGGCCTTAGCCTCCATATTGCCCGGTGTGAACGGCATGGTCCACTGGACACTGAGCAACTGCGCATAAAATGTTCCCGGCTCACACAATGACAAACTTAACAGTTTTTGGGACTCCAGACTTCTTCTCTCCTCTCTCCTCGCAGCTTTTTTGGACACTCAAAGCCAAAAAAAAAAAAAAAAGATCTACAAGACATCACCAGAGACACTGAAAGTTGCTACACACACATGATGAAAACTGTGACTAATTTCAGTGGTTTAAAAAATGAAAAAGAAGAAGACTGAAAACAAAAATATCAGACTTTATTTCCCCCCCTGTAGCAGCGTCACAGTTTCATCCATGGATCAATACTGTACATTCCTTTTCTTGACGGCTCTCAGCAGGGACTCCGTCCAGAGCTTAAGATGTAGCAGCAGCCTTTTTTTCCCTTTTCCATTCTTCTCCCTCTCGATTCAGATGGCAGTGCAGTGAGATCAGAGGAGATTAGCAGCAGCACATGCAGGCTGTGGCAGGCTAATGTTGTTTTTATCAATCTGAACAGTCACTGACTAAACATCCAGCATGAGTACATCGATCGCTTTTGATGCCATGAGAAGATTAGGACATGTTCTCTGTGATACACAATCAAGATGTAAAAATGAAAATGAAATAAATGAACATCCGTTTGAAAATAGAGGGAGCCATGACAATATATCACCATGGCCCGCTATTTGCAAGATTTCAAGAAACTAGTAAATATATTCTTAAAATAATTTTTTTATTTCATTTTTATAATTCGTAACGACTAAACGGCTGACTGCTTGGCTAGTGTTTTACTATTTCTTATTTGTCGGGATACAAGAGGTCATCAGGCAAAACCCTTTGAGTTGTTTTGTTAATTTTGCACTATTTTGGAGGTTTGCAACACTGGAGCGTTATTATGCAGAAAATTGATGATGCATATTTGCTTTATTTCATGAAACTTGACTAACAGTCTAATAAGTCTCAGTCTGAAAAGGCACTTACAGTTTCACAGTTTTTCCTGTAATTCAAGGCTCATTATGTCACTGCCTTGACGTGCACTACTATGTTCTCACAGCTTACATTTTTATTTCAAATGATTAAGTCTTTGGCATTCAACCACAGAAAAGGAGATAACAGCCATCCCAAGTCAAACCAGTGTCATCATTTGTCTAGTTTAATGCCACAATCGTCCAGATTCACCCTGATTGGGTGATTCTTAAGACTCCAACAACGTCAAAAAGCAGGGCGACGGTTTCAGCTAAATGCCTTAAACATGTTCCCTCCTAACTTCAGCTCCCTCACATGTTTCAGGCCAAGTCATTTCTTTGAATCAAGCTGGAATGATGGTTTCCTCATCTGTCAAGTGAATGTATTTGCATTTGCCAAAGACTTAGTTCTTGTTCATGTTTATTTACAGGTCGCCTATATGCTATCATGAGAGCAGTATTATTATTAGAAAAAGCCCACATTGTTCACGAGGAAAAGTATATGTATAAATTCTATGCAGTGCAGAGATGGTCATCATATGCATATTCAGCTGTAAACCTAAAGGTAGGTGGAGTTTATTTAATTGTTATGTTATTTACAAATTGTTCATTTTGTAGAAGGATTTTTTGTGTGTGATGTGAAGACACTTCTCTGTAAATACAGTAAGAAATAATGTCTTTCATGTTCATGGGTATTATCACTTTCATTATGCTGGTCTCACTTGTACAATAATAAAAGTGTCTGAAATCTTTTACGCAAAAGGGGCTGCATGGTGTTTCTATCTGGAGTAGAGCTGAAAGGATTAGTTGATTACTCTACAACATGTCTGATAACTGATTAATAATATAGTTATTTATTAAGAAGACCCCCCACCCCCACAAAAAATTTAAAAAAATAACCGTTTTGAGCTTTTCTCTGTTTTATATCATTGTAAATCTAACAGCTTTGTGTTTTGGACTTTTTGACTGTCAGACAAAAGGAAGACTTAATTGAAAAATAATAAACAGATGAAAGTAATCCTTATTTGTGACCCTAATTTGGAGTCAAATTCTTCAATTTTAAAATCAAAACTCAACCAAAGGGCCTCAGAAGTCTTATTTCTTGCATTTTTGTCCTTGAGTGATTATTAAGTTAGGTTAAGGGGAACAGATGATGCATGATTTTTAGCGCCAGAGGCAGAAAGTGACTAGAAAGAATACTTGCAATTGTGCAATTTCTAGGTATTTAGACTTTACTTGATTATTTCCACTACATTTATTTCAAAATCAATGTTACTTTGCAGATAAACATTTTACATCAAAACATATGCTCAGTTTACAAAATATGATAGCAAAAATTTAATTCACCCTTCACAATGCATGTGAAACATCACACATTTGATGTTTGTAGATTCACACTACAACATCAAAATGCTGCATAAACAAAAGAAGTATCAGTAATAATAATTTAATAATTTAATCTATAATTTAAGTCCAGCCCAGGACCTATGTTACATTCCTATTTTGAGTCTTTTGTAGAGAGTTTTATTTGTAACGGGGGTATTAATGTTGTATTAGTACTTTTACTTTACTAAAGGATCTGATTCTTCTTCCACCACTGTATAATACACCATAATGTAGTTGGACACAAAAATAAGGACATTGTTAAGTTTTTATTAATGTATTAAAACTTCCCTACGATGTGTTTTTAAATATGTTTTAACTGTTTATATTATATAAGAAATAGCAGTTTGAAAAAAAAAGGTCTCAACTTAAGGTTACTAGATTTCTCTTGGAGCTTTTATCCGCATCTCAGGGCATTCAGCAGCAGATGGAGTTTGCTTAGTTGTCTTGTAGCAGGAAGAAGTATTTATTAAACAATACTTTGTTGATAAACACAATAATATAATTAGCAAATATACCATACATACTTCATTATTCATATAAAATTATAACACCTGTTTTCTGTTATCAATAATTCAATCTCTGTTTATACACCCATTACAGATACTTGATAGGAGAAGTTTTAATTGTTTTTGGCATTCAAGTATTATAGATGTTTTAAAGAAACGTTTGGCTGTAAGAAGTCCTCATTTCAGACATGACAGGAAATGACACTGTTACAAGAAATGGTTCAGGAAATAAAAGAAACAGGCAAGTTAAATAAAAAGCACAAACAGAAGTGAGAGACCTAGTCTATCTTTATAGGTCCAGTAAAGGTCCCAGGAGGAAGTCCCATCTTCCGAACTACCTTTTAATCTACTGAGAATAGACTCAGAGGATGCAGTTTGCATTTACCCAGTATTTCCAATCTGGAGCTATAGCTTTTTTCCCAATGCCTCAAAATAAATCTGGAAGCTTTACATTAATAACTGAAAAAGCACATTATGATATATTTGGTATTTGAGAGCTGTTCACCAGTAAACATGAAACAGGAGTCAAATCAATGGATTGTTGAACCAAGCCAATGACCCCGGACTTTGACCCAGAGTGGTCTCACTAATGTACAGGAGAGATCCCACTCCCATTCTGCAGCAAAAAGAATTGTTAACAAATGCATTACACCTACAATTCCTAAATTGCCCATATTATTGCTTAAAACTACATTAAAGTATGTAAACACTATATTATATGTTTATATACTGCTTATAAATGCTAAATAATGGGTTAAAATAAAGTGTTGCCATGTTATGTAATTTGACATCTACAAACTTTGCTTGAGATGACAAATAACTTGTAGTCAGAGTGTTGTTGAGTAAAATGAATTGAGGTGCCTAATGAGACTATTTTGAGATGAATGTATTTACTTTTCAGGTATAAAGATCACATGGTGCACGAGGGCTACAGTGAGAATGCCTCTAAATGTTTTCTCCATGATTTGGATCACTGAGCAGCGCATAAAGTGTTTAACCTCTCCTCGCTTTGTAAAGCTGAATTAATTTTTCTAGCACTGTGCCTGAATTCAATTTGTGCTAAGTTGCAGGGAGAGATTTATGCATGAAATCCCTCTTAGAGGTTATTTTCACTCTTTCTTCGCTCCGTAATCCCTCCACCACTGCCGCCTGTATGACTTAGTTATATCATTATTGATTTACAACAAGTGGACACTGTCCTGATTAGCAATGCGCGATTTGCAAGGGATTTGCGCTGCGGGTGCACTTGATAAAGCAGCCTGTACATTTCAAATGATGTCAGACAGAATGGGAATATATAATACAGTGGTTGAGCTTTTCACTTGTTAATTCAAACATTTATTTCTTGGTCCAGACACTATTTTCTTGTTTTAATGGCAAAAAATTGCCCTTTAATCTCTGATCCTGCATGGACAACAGTGATACGAAATGAATTTAGTGTCAACTTTATTGGGTAGAACACTCAATTTCTATCCTTCTATTGTATATTGTCTTCTAAATTTCAACATTGTGAAAAGATAAAATAAGCTCCTCTAAAACATACTGAGCTGGGCTGTTTTTTGGTCCACTCTGATGCCTCTGGGTCCAAGAGGAGAGACCCCCTTTTTGCTTTGTAATTCAATTTCTCTGCCTGTTGTTTATTTCATAGCTCCCCTGTGAAGCATCAAAAGCTGATGTTCTGTCAGCCCCTAACTGTCGTATATGTTTGTCATTCACAGCCCTTGTTAAAAGAGGAGGGGAAAAAACTGAGCTTGACTCTTTCCTCTCCCCAGCTGAGAATTCCCAGAAGCAGAATTATTCTATTTAGATGGAAACTTTTTTGTCACTTTCCTGTCTAAATTGGCATATCTGGCTCTCTCCTCTGAAACCAATAAACTGTGAACTTGGATGTATCTGTCAATCAAGCTCAAATTGACTGCAGCATGCCAGCTGACAACTGGAATATAAATATAAATATTATATATGTGTTCCCTTATATATATATATATATATTTGGATGGATGATCTGAATCAGCACCTGTCACTGTCTTTATTCATCAAACATTCAGTTAATAATAAAATTCAACAGCAAAAAGCACAATAATGACATTGGTTATCTCAGATTGACACAATCTAAGCATGAGTTTACATATAAAATTGCGCATTTGATCTAAAAAAACAACAAAAAAGGAAAAGTTCAACTTGAAAAAAATGTATTTATTCAGATAAAAAACAAGTTCAGTAATCATGATAATGGATGAGTGCTGAAATCTTGATTTACTGCCCTACATGAAACAGGCCGCTCTGCAGCAATGCAGATCATCTTTTTATACTTAGCTATTTTCTCCATATCTTACTGCGACATTAATGTTATTACTCCTCATTGGATAAGCAGTAATTATCTTAATGTAGACCCCATTCTGTAGATTGCTTCTGAGGAAGTTGAATAATTGTGCCTAAAAGTTGACAGACAAAAACATGTACATATGGAACGACTGATCTTGAAAATGCATGATCCCTGCAATACTGTTTATCTCTCATTTTAAAAAAGAAACTGGTTGGAGCTCTTTATGTGGTAGGATGCAGTTTTGGTAGTATTAAGAAACCCCTCTATTTCAGGTATTATAACAGCGAACAGTGAACCTCATCATGCATAACTTCAAACCACACTGTCAGATCTAACTGTTGACCTTTTCGAGCTGCTCCGCACTAATACATGCTGACTGAACACTTCCTCTGTGTGATTTGTACAGTGGTTCTATGAATATGCCGCAGCAACTGAGTTATAATTTGGTTATTGGGGTGTCAAATGTACAATAAATCCTCAGGATGTTATCATTTGCAGTGACACACCAAGACGAGCAGGGCTGTGGAGAAAATATGAAAATGCATTTTACGTCTTTATATCTGTGCACTGGTTTGGACGTTATGAAAAGAGGGAATGGATCTGCTGCTTTATGTGCTGTATCTAATTGGATATGGCAATATATAATACGATTCTCCAGTATCCATCAATTCCTGTGTTAGACCTGTTTGTATGGCCGTGTCACTGGGGCAGCCTAGCTTGTTATGATGCCTGAGCAGCAATTATGAGGTAATTTTTGACTCATGCTGTGTGAGGCCATCCAGAGGATACTTGAAGGGAGGTTCCTAATGAGTGAGCATTGATTGATTGGACATAATGTGCCCTGCTTGACTGAAAGCAAGTGTGAGAAAAAGGTGGTGGTGGGAGGGAGAAGTTTGGATGACAGGATATTTCCAAATGAAGCAAATGACCAACAATTAGATCTGTTAGCATATAGGTGAGCGCCACAACTCTGCCAAAACGTGGCTAGCTGCCTGCCTGGCTATCTGGATGGCTCAGCCCAGCGCCAAACCTCATTTACCCTTCACCAGTAAATAATTACCCTAATGGCTATTTTGTGATACATGATGCAATTAAAGCCTAATGCAATGCACCTCTCTTAGTGAATGTGTCAGGTCCCACATTACAGGTGCTGGTGGTCCCGGGCTAACGGGGCTTGCTACCTGACTGGCCAGTAATGAGGATATCCTCCACAGCAGACAGAAGAGCTCCCTAATCAGCTGGATCTGTCAGCCAGGCGTGTTTGTTTGCAACCAGGGGAGCTGGGAAATATTCAGAGAGAAGAGAGAGGGGAAAGCAGAATTTGGTGCAGGCTATTCCTGTTAGCTGAAGAGGGAATAAGAAAAGTGGGTAGAAGAGAGGGCAGAATCATCAACCCCCCATCCTTTCCCCCTTATAACCCCAGCTTCTCCTACTGCTCCCCTCACCCTGGCCTCCCCCACCACCACCACCACCACACTCCCAACACCCCAGTCACTGTCAGGCCAAACACATGATGAATTGCCCTGTCAACA